AGTATGAAGATTATCATGACAGGTTTCGTATTAGATTTAGGCAACATTATGAGGCTTTTTATCCTCAAATAAATCAAGTTAACGGAGAATCTTTGGAAAAAGATAGACCAATATGTTTCACCGAGACAGTTTTACAAAGTCGGCGAACGTATTAAAAATTTATATTTTTATGATTGATTTTTCCTCATATTTATTTTAGAACATCGGCAATAGAGCACACTTCCGATGAGATAGCGTTATATCTGTCGGAACCGCCTTTGAAAGGGTATGCAATAATTTTAGATTATTGGAAGATTAATTCTGGTAGATTTCCTAGGTAAAATGTTATAAAATATTATTAATTTTTACCAACTTTAATCAAAATCGAAAATATCTTAAAAATTTAATTCAATTATGCATATATTTATTTTAGACTATCATCTATGGCGAATGATTATTTAAGTGCTCAAGCTTCTTCTGTGGCTAGTGAGCGAGTTTTTTCGCGTGCCGGCGATACAGCAACGAAAAAAAAGAAATAGATTGGCTCCTAATACACTCAGATGGTGTCTGTGTCTAAATGCTTGGGAAAAGATAATTACAGACATGTGGGAGTTGGGGGAATAAATATTTAAATCAACTTAATGCTATTATCATATTTCAATATTTATATTTTAAACTTTTTTTTTATAATAAAATATTTTGCTCAAAATTGAATATAACTTTTTTTTTATTCACTAGATATTTGTGACTATTTTATTCAAATATATCAATTATATTTCATTTATTTATCATCGTTTATAATATACATTATAGATATTATATAAATTAATAAAGATTTAATAAACTGTCTTCAGTATTTTCATCAATATATTGTCTTTTATGCAAATGACTATTTTTGTTTCATGCTTTTTTTTAAAGTTAAATTATTCTTTTGTCTTTGATTAATACATATTTCTATCTATGCCTCATGGTGACATTTAGAAAATCTAAAATTTTATGTTGTTAATTTTTAAGTATAAAATAAAATAATAAGATATTTGCAAAATGAATAAGATTATATTCGATAATGAATATAATGTTCATAATATATTTATGAAGAAATAAATAGGTAATATAAAAATAAGGTTGATTATTATTTATATAAAAAATATTGTATTGGAAGAAAAATTTCTATATGATTGCAGGAAATTTAATTATGGCACCAAAAATTTTAACAATTGATTTGCATCGATATTGATTTTAAAATAAGAAAAAAAGTTTACCCAAATCTTAAACAAGATTGTCTGATGAAAATTGGCAAATAAATAATAATTTCTAACTTAGGATTAGATATTATGATATAAATTTTGCATATTAATTTCTGACCCGATGAACGGATGTAACAAAATGCCAATTTGTTCCTGTTTTTGTGGAAGAATCTATTATTACCATGTTTTTTCTATGGCACATACTCAGGCAATTTTAATTTTACAATCTATATTTTTACCCATTTACATCAAAGAAATTTTAAAAATAACGATTATGACAATTGTCACTTTTCTATGGTACATCTTCACTAAATTTTTATTTAAACATCTTATTAATACTTATTTTAACATATTTTCTTCAAAAAAATTCATAAAACTTATAAAATAACGATTATGACAATTGTTACTTTTCATTGGTACATCTTCACTAAATTTTTATTTAAACATCTTATTAATACTTATTAAACATATTTTCTTCAAAAAAATTCAAAAAACTTATAAAATAACGATTATGACAATTGTCACTTTTCATTGGTACATCTTCACTAAATTTTTATTTAAACATCCTATTAATACTTATTTTAACATATTTTCTTCAAAAAAATTCATAAAACTTATAAAATAACGATTATGACAATTGACACTTTTCATTGGTACATCTTCACTAAATTTTTATTTAAACATCTTATTAATACTTATTTTAACATAAAAAAGTTTCATAAAATCCACCTCATTTAATAAAAAATAGATAATTTAAAAAAATGATTAAAAAAAATTATATTTCACTAAAAGATTGTTTATTTTATTAAATAAAATTACAATAATTCCTCAATAAAAGATGTATTTACAAAGAAGATTGTGAAAATCACTAATAAATTATATTAAAAAGAGTATTAGATTTTTACAATATAGCAGCATATTATTTTTTTTTATTATAAAAACATCTAATAAATAAATTTATTTTCATTTCAAAATATAATAATATAAATAAAAAAATTTAAATCATATCATGTTTATTTGTTGATAATAATAAAATGTTTACATTAAATATAAATAAAATAAATTATTTTACTAAAATAAATAATAATTAATGCTAAGCATCGATGCAGAATTTTGACTAATTTAATTTTAGCCGATTTTTAAGCTTAACCTAATTAGGTTTAGGCGTAGTTTTTAGCCGATTACGCAACACTAGTCGCTAATATTCACATAAACAAATATAAAAAAATAACTCACCAGGGCTTAATTTTTTTACAATCAAGTTCAGGCTGAGCCTAATATTTTATATTAAATTTTATTTAGATGCCATTAATTTCTTTATTATTTTTTTTAAAAAAATTTTGGGCCAGGTCTGGGCTTGAAAATTAGGCCCAATGCAGATCACTAATACCAGACAATTATATATGTCAATTCTTTACTAAATCTTATTCACCATCACAAGTTTCCCTTTCCACATTTGAATATTTTAGTTGGCCACAATCACATAATAGTTTATTAATTTTAATATTTTATAGATTAATAAAGCATGTGTTATTTCATCATGACTGAAAATTATAACTCAGGTTAATTAACATTTCTATGGCCCAAACATCCTATCCTTACTAAATGTAATGTGTCCAAAAAGTAAAAATCAAGTTAATTTAAAGACACTACCACTAAAAATTTAAGATTGTGGTATTTCAAGTCTTAAAAGTAGAAATTATTAAATGTTAAATATTAGACTTTGAAATTATAATCGAATAGCTATTATTTTTAAGTTTTATTTTTGAACAAACGTGAATGATTTCCTTTTTTGAAGATGAACTTAGTTGCATTCATTTTTTGTCAGCCAAATTTGAACATGGATGTTTTTAGAAATGTATATAGCACTATTTTTAACAATTGATCTCATGAGTCATGAGATTAATACAGGTAACTCATTTTTAAATATATTATTTGAACGTATAAGTAATATATTTTCTAGTTTCCTGTTGTGATGATAACACAAATTTTAGCCCCGAAAAAGCCCTTTTTACAGAAATTTGTAGTTGGAAACGCCAGTAGTATAAATGCAAGATTATATAATTCTGGATATTCAAATTATTTCCATTTCTAAAATATAAAAACTGAACCAGTATAACCGTTTTTTATAAAGGATCTTTTTAGTCCTTCAAAAGATAATTACATCAGTTCGGTTTATGGTTCAGATATTTATAACGGTTTGATGGTTCGTTACCACTCCAGGTCCCTGGATTAATATACAATAAAAAATTTAATATGATTAATCAGGTGGAGGGTAAAACTTATAATGAAGTTTAACATTAGTGCACATATTTTTCATTTCTTTTTAAAACAATTTGCAAAATCATTCAAAAATTCCATGCAGGTAAAATAGAAATTCAGGTTAAGCAAAAATACTAGGCCAGGATTCAGAGTAAGATAACAATTTCAACTTATGCTACTAATGACTATAGCAATAGCAAATATAACTGATTTATATTTCTAAAATATTATTACTACCAAATATGATAAAAAGCAGAGACATATAGAAAGTACTACTTGCGCTCAGCTCAAATCATTATATATCTTTAATTTTTATAGCTAATAATAATGGTGATTAAAAATATACAGCCCATCTCTTTTTTAAAAAAAATTTCATGTCTGACATAGGTATATTTAAAAATTTAAATCAAAACACATGTATCCAGGCTTGACCTGCTGGTCTCTGATAAAAATATAATTGACCTATTTGCTCACTTCCACTTTGAAAAAAAATTAGAGGATATAATAAATATTCCATGTTGCTGATATTAATGTCAGGCAAAAATATAAAAAATTTGGGAGGTGAGCTTAAATTTTAAAATAATAGATATCTTCAGGAAACATGGGACCTTGTTGAATGATAAAGCTCAATTATGTTCAAAGTAAAACTATATTGAAAGACAATTGTTTCTTATTTAAATAAATTTGGGCCAAACTACATAAACATAATTTTTATTTAGGTCCAATGTAGATCACTAGTAATAGAGCTATGATGATAAAAAACTACATTAATTATTTTTGGTTACCATTTCCTAAAAATTGCAATAAAATGAGGTTTTAATTTTAAGCTCATTTTTAAAAAATACTGACCAGTTAATTCAGATAGTCGTTACTTGCCTAAATTATCCATATCTATTTTGAAAATTATGAGCCAGTCCAGTTCATTTCATACAGAGAACGAGGTGAAAACATGAGTATTCTTAACTAATTTAGTGGCCCCAATAAAGCGAATTGTAATTTTAAAAAAATAAATGAATAATAAATCCAATTCAGTTGTTTATTAGATTTATATTTTACTATCCAACACAATTCAAATTGATTTATTTTATTTGATAATTTAGGCAAATTAGTGACTAGGTATAAAAGCTAGAAAATTCATCATTATTCTATTATTTTAAAGCTTAGATGAATTGGGGAGGTTTGAGTCACAAAATTTATAATTTGATATTGAACATATATTGGTGTGGGGTTAAAAATCAAAAAATTTATTTTCACTATAGGTCATCAAGTCATAGAACAGAATCAGCTATAGATAGCTAGTTTACATTCTATTTTATATAATTATTTATAAATGTCAATATGGCTATTTTTAAATATCATATTCTAGCTTTAGAATAATGTAAAATAAAAGTATTTTCAAATGATCTAAAAAAAACTTTATTGATGTGATAAATAATATATAAATCAATTCTATGACAAATTAAAATTACAGTATTATATGAAATAAGAGTAAGCAATCCAGTCCAGACTCAATTTATTTATATTATCCGATTTAATTATTTTATTAATGAATTCATATATCATATTTTATAAAAATATAAAATGAAAAACATTCTTTACCATATAATCTAGTGAATAAAAGTTTATTTTTTTCCTGCCTTTTGAGCTGCTTTAGTGACTTTTCCTGTGCCTGCTTCAGCCTTTTCAACTTCTTTAATGACACCAACAGCTACTGTCTGCCTCATATCTCTAACTGCAAAACGTCCTAATGGTGGATAATCTGCAAAACTTTCCACACACATGGGTTTTGTTGGAATCATCTCTACAATAGCTGCATCTCCACTTTTAATATTTGGTGGATTATCTTCAAGTTTTTTACCACTTCTTCTATCAATTTTTTCTTTGATTTCTTGAAATTTGCAAGCAATATGAGCTGTGTGACAATCCAAAACAGGTGTGTAGCCTTTAGTTATTTGACCAGGATGATTCAAAACAATCACCTAAGTTAAATAGCAATTAAATATATACTATATATCAAATTACTTGAGCTAAAAATGACTTGGTTTCTCTTGGCGGATCATTTTTAGAATCGCCACATACATGCCCTCTTCTTATCTCTTTAACCGACACATTTTTTACATTAAAACCTACATTATCACCTGGACCAGCCTCTGTAAGAGCTTCATGATGCATTTCAACAGATTTAACTTCTGTAGATATGTTACTAGGTGCAAATGTCACAACCATTCCTGGCTTTATAATTCCAGTTTCTACTCTACCCACAGGAACTGTGCCAATGCCTATTTAAAATTATATATTAATTTATAAACAAAATATCTAACCTCCTATTTTGTATACATCTTGAAGTGGGAGCCTTAAAGGCTTATCAGTAGGACGTGAGGGTTGTTGAATAGCATCTAATGCTTCAATTAAAGTTTTGCCTGTAACAGTTCCTTCTTTTCTCTCAATAGTCCACCCTTTAAACCATGGCATCTAAATAATTCAATAATAATGCTTAAATTATAAAATACATACTTTTTCAGATGGTTCTAACATGTTATCACCATGCCATCCTGATATAGGAACAAAAGCCACTGCCTTTGGATTGTAACCAATTTTTTTAATGTATGCACTTACTTCTTTAACTATTTCTTCATACCGAGCCTATAAAAGATTAAAAGAATACAAAGTAAAAAATGGTTATACTGCTGAATATGGGGGTTCCGTTGAATCCATTTTATTAACACCAACAATTAATTGTTTTACACCTAAAGTGTAAGCTAACAATGCATGTTCCCGAGTTTGTCCTTGTTTAGATATACCAGCTTCAAACTCACCAACACCTGCGGCAACGATCAAAACTGCACAATCAGCCTAAAATTTTTTATATTTAAGTTATATATCAATATAAAACTTGAGATGTTCCTGTGATCATATTTTTAATAAAATCCCTATGTCCAGGAGCATCGATAATTGTTACATAATACTTGCTAGTTTCGAATTTCCACAAAGCAATATCGATAGTGATGCCTCTTTCACGCTCTGCTTTTAATTTATCCAATACCCAGGCATATTTGAAGGAGCCTTTGCCCATCTAAAAATATGTAAAAAATAAATACTAATAAAAAAAATACTTCGGAAGCTTCTTTTTCAAATTTTTCAATTGTTCTTTTGTCAATACCACCACATTTGTAGATCAAATGACCAGTTGAAGTAGATTTACCAGAATCTACGTGCCCGATAACCACAATATTTATATGAACCTTATCTTTTGGCATGATTTATATTGTATAATGCTGAACGTTTAGTCGTTAAAAAAGGAAACTGTAAATGTGGAGCAAAACGTTGTTATGGTTTCCGGGAATATGGAGTAATTTTGGTATAAAACTCGGATAATGATTTTAAAAAAATAAAATATTTTATTAATTAATCAAAAATTAAAATTGTAATTAAACAATAAATCTATAGAGTCCAAATATATATTGAATTCATCTCTTATTTTTAATAGTTGCTATGTTAAAATATTTCTCCTATGCCTGGATAGAACATTTATAGATTAATTCACGATCACATGTTAAAAAATACATTTATATAATAATTCGTACGCTTTACTTTATATTTATATAAAAGAATATATTAATTATATATATTATTTAGATATTGCTATTCTAATTTACAATAAATATTATAATATTATTCTATAGAACATGAAATTCTAGGTATTATTTATGATTAAGTAACTATAAATTTTAATAAATTTAATAGATTTATTGGTTAGTCTAAATTTTATTTGTATCAATTTATATAGTATTTACTTTCCTTTTAATAATGAGTCCAAGATCCAGTTGTATAAATAAAACATTATAATATAAATTTAAGAGCGTATATTTATATTACAATGATTATATACAAAAATATGAAAACAATATTAACTATAAAATATATTAATAGAGTATATAAATATTATTGTTGTTCCTACAACGTTGAGAGGGCGAATGCACTTTATCACGTATCAATAAAAAATAAAATAGTGATTTTTTCAATAATCCTATTTAAAATTGTTTTTAATAATTATTGGTAGAATATATTATTCAATAGAATAGTAATATTATTAATAAGTTTTGAAAAAACAAAAAAACAGCCTTTGGTTTTTCCATTTTTTAAAAAATAATTTATATATAAATATTTATTAAATATGCATTTTTCAAAAATGTTAAATATTTATTAATGATGTTTAAAAAATGTATTTTAAACTATTTTAGCTCTATTATTGAAGTATAAGATTGTATATTAGAAGTCTATTAAAATTTAGAGATTATAAGGTAATTTATAAGTAATGCAGACAGTGCATAGTCAGCGATTAGTGTTGTTAAACGGCTCGTTTTGAGCCGATTTTTGAAAACGGTAAATATTTCACCCAGAATAGCATTACACAAGCCTGAAGATTTTATTTGTAGAAGGAACAAAGGTTTGGACATCTATTAGCGAAATCTCGAGGCTTAGGCAATATTTTTTTGGCTTAAATTTTGAGTTAGCCGTTTTTTATTTTTAAAAACGGCTAAAAACGAGCAGTTTAACAACACTATCAGCGATTTCCCTAAGAGCCAACAAATGCAAATTATTAAAATATTTTTTTAAGAGCCTTTCTCACTAGATAATCACTAATTTTGTGGATTTAGAGGATGCCATCGTCTATTTGAAATGAAGGGGTGGAAGGATAATCAATATGCCTACTTTTTTTTTGAAAGGGAAGGTACCCAAAAGGGGGTAGAATAAAATAAAAATAAACACTCTTTGTATATTAAAGATAAAAATATATGATAAAGAAAAAATATTTATTTCGAGTTCAATGATTAATTAAATTATTTATTTACAGATAACATTTTAGTTTTAATTTATACTGGTTCATGGTCAATTTTTAGGATAATGTTAGCAACATCTAGTTTATTACACCAAAAAATGTTTATTGCTTTCCTAAATCATAAGGCCTGAAAGTGTTTAAATTAGAATTTTATGGAAGGTTATAAATGATGACATAAGATTTTTAATATTAATTTCATGTGATTGTTAAATAATGTGTGGACAAATATTGAGCCCGAAGGTTGGTAAAAAAAATTGGTGGAGGAGGGGGGGGGGGTGTAGATTTTGAAAGAAACTTTCCCTCCAAAAAATTTTCTGGCATTTAAGCGCTATAGGAATCTATTAGAAGTGTTGCACTTGTTGAAATGCCAGGATGGCTTGAAAAATACTTCTCTTCAGAAATAGGCACCTGGACTCAATAAAAGAACTTATTATTTCTCTGCATTAGAATATACGAATTATTTAATTATACTATTATTTTAGGAAATCTTATATTTATTGACATGAAAACTGTAGAAAGTGTTGTATTGATTGCTGCGTTTAAAGTTAAAACAGAGCTTTATAAATTCATATCATGACCCGAACGACACGGCACCATTTAAATATGAATATAGGAAGTAAAAAATTAATAAATTAAAATCCCATTAGTGGTGTTCTTAAAAAAGCTGATTTCTCCTAAATCGCTAAGTAAGAGGGTCAAACATTTATGCTAATATTAGCCGAAATCTTGAGGCCTATTTATAAAAAATTTGTAAATAATTATAATGTCAGTTTTTTAAAAATAGGTTAAATCGAAATTTTCAATACATTATTACAGGATCCAAACCGAAACGAATATAGGTTCGGTTCAGGGCTCAGGTTCGGTTCGTAATAAATAAAAATATCGGTTCGGTTCGAGTCTCTAAAAAGCGGATTGAATACTTTTGTATTCAAACCCACATTCGAATTATGTATAGGGAGGAATATTTTTATTTATTTCATAATTAAAATAAAAAACATACATAAAATCTTCTTTTTTATTAATTGCACATTATAAAATAATATTTAATTTATAAATATAACTAATAAATATCAATGATTAATTTTAATATGAACAATTACTTTATTAAGCTGCACTTAATATATTTTCAAAATTCGTCTTGCTTAAATTACATCTATAAGGAGATAATATAAATTTAATTGTTGAAAAACATCTTTCCACACTAACTTGGGTAGCCGGCCCTGCCAGTATGATATCAGATTTGATATGTCATTTATAATACAATATGTAAATAATTTATATATTGGATTTAATTTTTCTCTAGGCATTATAATTTATGAGCTTAAAATATTTAAAAAATGTTGGAAAATGGCAATATAACTAAAAATTACGACTGAAACTTATTAATCAAATGTGATTGATAAGAATTTTTAAAACAATTTATAATTAAAATTTTTGCAATAAACTAGTAATAACTTACCCATTATTTTATAAGCATAAAATTATGAAACTCGAACCGGTTCAGAGGCATTTTAGAGGTTCGGTTCAGGTTCGGCTAGAATTTTTTTAGCGGTTTAATGGTTCTGTTCAGGTTCGGATCCCTGGCAGTCAGTTACTCTAATACTAAATAAAATATATTTAAAAATGTATCTACAGTTAAAAATCTAAAAGAGCTGTCAAATATTTGATTCTGTATATAAAAACGCCACCGATATTTATATATTGGATTTAACTTTTCTCTAGGCATTATAATTTAAAGCTTAAAATATTTAAAAAATGTTGTAATGGCAATATACTAAAGTTTATAAAAATTATGACTGACACTTATCAATCAAATGTTATTGATAATAATCTTTAAAACAATTCGAATATAATTAAAATTTTTGAAATATTCTAGTAATAACTTACATATTATTTTTTAAGCATGAAATTATGAGACTCGAACCGGTTCAGAGGCATTTTAGCGGTTCGGTTCAGGTTCAGTTGCATATTTTTTTAGCGGTTTAGGTTCGATAAAAAATACCAGTTTTAAACCGTTTAAAGGTTCGATTCAGGTTTGATTTGGATCCCTGCATTATTACCCACCCCCCCCCCTTTAGATTATTTTTTTGTCGATTCTATTCATCAAACAACCCTTACATATATAAAAATATTTTTTAATAGATTAATCTGTATTCATTAGCACTTGCACAAATAGAAAAGTAAAATTTATACAAGAATATACCTATGAATTTGACACCAAATACAGGGGAAATTGCAACGTTTGATTCGGGTAATTTTTTTATTCATTAATTTTTATAAATTTATATATATTTCAAATGCGTAAAAAATTATTTTTATATAAATTTTTTCCAGCACAGATTTATTTTACAGTGATTCATAAATGTTATATTATAGTTTTAAAGCCGCTCCATTTTAGCTGAATAGTCCAGCATCGATATTATATGCCGGTTGATATATTAAAAATTAAAAGGTTTTGGTACATAAATATATATCTAGAATTTACATTTGATAAATTTAAAGATTAATTATAATTGTAAGTATTTTTAATCACTGGTCCTAATAAATTTGAAAATTTTTAATTCAATAATAACTTCAAATTGAATAAAAAAAAATTTTAATATTATTTTGAAAATCCCTTACCCGTCCCCCAAACTAAATTCCTAAATACGTGTCTGGATACAAAATATAACTTAAGCATACTCATCGCCTTTAATATATAATACTTTAAAAACTTGGTTTGTCCTATATAACCACTTTTATTCCTGATAATTTCAGAAACTATCGGGGCTGGTGCAAGTTTCAAAAATCGATACGCCGCCAAAGCGCGTCGATTTTTAGCCCTGCTAAAAAAATTAAATTAAAATATATATTACACTGCACTACAGATATCTTAGTATATTTTTAGATTTTTATAAAATTCATTATATATTCAAAATCCTTTTGTGATTTTATTTTCCTGCAATATCAGCCCAGAGGAAGTAATTTCACTAATTGTGCTAGTTGTTGAAACACAAAGAATTAGTTTTAGCTAGCGTGAAAGATTAGGAAATTCGATCCTCTTTTCAATCGAGAAATTTGGAACATTGATATTTTGTGAATAGCGTTTTCCGAGAAGAATATGGCATTCTTGTTTTAAATCACTTAAAGTGGAATCAAAATTTGTACTTGTTTTTATGGTTGCTAATTTTGTCAAATAATTTTAATTTAATATTTTCTCTTGATTCTCAATCTCTATATTTACTACCCTAATACCATCATACTCTCTACGTTTAAAATGTTTTATAATAAATCCCAATATTGAGTGATTTTGTTCTATATATACTTTGACACAATTTTTAAACTTAAATCTTCGTTCTAGTAGAGAAGCCAACATCTAAATTATTTTTGAAATAAAAATTAAATGAACATACTTTTGCAAATAAAAAATCAGAAATTGTAACTCAAGTTTTTTTTAGCTTATTTTTATTTAGAGAAATGTCCTGCTATCATCATCATTTACTAATATATTTGTTTCTATTTCACTTCTAAAA